AAAGGAGAAGGACAACATTACTCTGAAAGTTGCACTTCCAAGTTAATTTGCTTTTCCATAGAAGAAAGGATGCTTCTGGAGGCTGATAGGAGGAAACAGTACTAGAAGAGTTGAAGGATAAGATCAGTGGGCAATTTTCAGACAATCCTGGAATAGCCTGAAGATGCAGATTTATTCAAGACAACCTTGCTACACCATCAAGCTATCAGGCTTGAGGATGAATTTTGTTTTGGCCTGCAGCTTTTAATACAGTATATTGTTCTCAGATACTCTAACGGATGCCACAAAGCTTGCTAATGCTTCAATTCAGGGTGAACTGGGATAAGAACGAATAAAATAGTGTTTTTTACCATCCAAACAGTTCAAAGATGTAAGATTAGTATGAAAGAACCAGCAAAAGGTTTCCTGGTTTAGTTTTCATGAAGGTTTAGTTTTATTTTTGGAGTATTGAGAAATAGAGCACAAGAAAATGTAAAGCTACATTATATAAATCTGTATATATTGCACATGCACCATATGACCAGCTGGCCCAATCTTTACAGATTAAATCACAGAATGTTTACCCTTTCCTCTGCATCAGAAAGCATGTTCATAGCCCTCGTGTTCACATTCCTTCCCAACTTCTCTTTATGCTCCTGCAATTTTTGCAGCTTCTGACTTGCTTCTTTAGGGTTGCTACTTTTGAAATCATAGGCTGTGTTTGGCTGGCCAAAGAGTGTTTTTTCTGAAGCTATCCACTTGTACTCTTTCAGCATTTTGACCACCTGTAAACAAACAGATTTGCTGAGGCTTTTCCCTCACCCCTCTCAAATGTGAACTGAAAATTAAAACAAACAAACAAAACCCAAAACAAACCAACCAACCAATCAAACAAACCAACCCCACCTACATTCTGAAATTACCACATTAATTCTTCTACCCCTGCTTTGTGTGATTTCCTTCATTGTGGACAAACCAAGAATTAAAGGTAGCTTTAATGTATCTAACTTACTTGAAGCACCGTTTTTTCTACATCTGAACTATAACAATGTCACTACATCATGGAATTACCTTCCTTAATTAGTTATCTAATTTGTCCACACAATCAGAATGTTCTTACTGATCGCTTTCTCATGGTGATCTATCCTCTGTTACTCCACACAGATTAGCTCTTTTACAATGTACAATTTCCCTCTTCCTCTGATAAATTTTTTTCACATTGAGAGCTGCAAATATGACAGTGCTTAAAGAAAAAAGGCTATCTCCTTTGCAAGGGAAATGACCATTCTTGATCACAAGATGTGAAGAGAAGCACAATTTTGAAATACCTTGGCAGCAGCATCAGCAGCCTCTTGTTGACATTTGGTGATGCCATGGTCCAATTCTTTAACCTTAAGCTGTAATTCATTATTTTGTTCTCTGTAGTTTATCATCTCTGCACATTTGTCTTTAATTGCATCATCATGTAATGCAATTATTTCCTTCTGCTTGGCAAGCTCCTTCTGTGCTCTCTCTACAGATTCCTGGAAAAGCAAATCAGCAGACATTTACTGGCCTCTTTTAAAGGTGGCATTAAAGCTGTATTAGAACTGACACAGCAAAAAGAAAAAATTCACATGTGAAAGTGAAGCAAAAAATAACTGCCTGGGCTGACTGAATGTGGCAAGTAAGTCTGCAGGAAAAGATACACATTATAATGTGAGGTTCAAAGGATCACATAGAAAGCAACATGAAAATGGATAATGAAATTATTCACTTTTACCTCTGCTGTAGCCACTTCAGCCACCATAGCCTCAACTTGATCCTGGTAGGATTTGATTGCTTCCTCTGCAGCTGTTATCTGTTGTTTATAGGAGGCCTGCTCTTGCTTCAGCTCTTCAAGTTCCAGAACTAAAGCTTCGACTTCCTAGAAAGATGTTTTCCAATTTATTAGCTTTACTTAAATGGAGAGAATTCAGATTCAGTTTGATGTAGTAAATGCTGTAGAAGATTAACAACACCCAATTTCTTGAGCAAGGGTGCAATCTCACAAAAACAAAGAAAGAAAAAGACAAAAAACCTCAGTCTGTGACTATGTCAGTGACTACACAGTAATATAGTAAGTCCCAAAACTGAGAGCAGGAAAATCACATTTTCTGATTTTTGTGCCCACTTTTAACAGGGAGAGAACTGCCAACAGAAGTGAAGTTTTACCTGCT